CATTTAATGCCCTCAAAAGTTCCAATAGGAGGGATCGGTCCTGAAAGTACCAGTTCTGGTTCAGTTTCAGTCAGTGGTCACCTCCGTTTTTTTCCCCCTGGGAGTAGTCTTGTCACTGGGAAGAAGATAAAGTCCTAGAAGGCCCTCCCTCTGCTGGGTGCAACCTATATTGTAAAAGTGATGAACGAGGTCCAAGATTAAAGCTGGATCTCTTAGGGCAAAGTTCCTATGGTGGGAAGACTGGGCTGGTATGCAGCTTTGATCAAGTGACCCAGAGAAAATAAAATAAATAAATAAATAAAATAAGACAAAACACCTCAAATCCAATTTCCTTTGGAGTCCTCTAGGGAGCTAGAGGAGGAGAGGGGAAGAGGAGAGACTCTAAATTGTTTCCTTCTTGTTATGACCTTGATTGCTATACTTTGCTCAAGCAGTAATTACTGAAGATAGTCGTTAAAATGTGCCTGTCCTAGGGAGGTCCTCAGTTTACCTTCCCATGGTTGAGGTGTGTATGAGCTAAAATCCTCAGGTCTCAGCTCTACTTGGGCTACTTGGTCCAGGGAAGAGGGAGGACCCTTTTTGCAAACTCCTGTGCCCAGAAGGAGAGCCAGTTTTCTGATTTTCAATAAAAGGAAGCAGGGTCTGCTAGAGATAAGGGTGTAATAGAATAGAGTGTGAGCTTGTAGCTCACACACTGTAAGGGAGGCTCAAACTGAGAGCTCCTCTGAGGAAAAATCAAGGAACTGGAGAGGAAAGAAGTTCATATTTTATTTAGATCAACCAGCCAGGGTAAAGCTTGCTGAGGCAGAACCACTGATCTACTTCCTGAGAAGATGGAGAGAACCACACAAAGGTTTACTGTACATGTGTGTGTGCGCATGTGCATGTGCGCACCCATGCGTCAGTGCTGGGGCTTGAACTCAGGATCTTATACCCTTGCTTGGGTTTTTCCCCCAGGGCAGATGCTCTACCACTTGAGCTAAACCTCCACTTGGAGCTTTTTTGCTAGTTGATTGGAGATAGGAGTCTGTCAGGTTTGGCTGCCCAGTGTGACTTTGAACAGAGATCTTCAGATCTCAGCCTCCTGAGAAGCTAGGATTACAGTCAGGAGCCATCAAGCATCCAGGTTCACCCAAGGTTTAGATAGAGGAAGAAGTTTCTAGAGAAGAGAAGAGCAAATTTGCAAAAGCCCTGCCTCATTTGTCAACTTATTGGATATTTATTTATTTCGGAAAACAGCAAGATCAGTGTAACTAAGAGAAAAGCAAAAGCTGTAAGTTGGTCACACTGGCTGTAAAGATTCTCATGGATCGTTAGTGTGAAGGAAAGCCATAGGTGAGTCCCACAGTTCACCAAGGCTTCTTATCAAAGGATGCCTCCAGCTGCTCTGTTACAGCAGTGTGCTCAGTGTAAAAGATATATAATGTTATCCATGACATATAATGTTATTCCACAGTAGTGGAAAGGTAGAAACAACCCAATGTCCACAATAAACAAAATGTGGTATATCCATCCAATGGAACATTATTCAATCTTAAAGAGGAATGACATTCTGACCCATGCTACATGAATGAGTCTTTAAATTATTGTTAGTTGAGATATTAAAAAAACACCTATGTTTTCACATACATGAGGAATAAAAAAGTAGTCAAATTTGCTGGGTGCCAATAGCTCACACTTATGATACTACCTATTCAGAGGGCTAAGAACTGAGGCTGGAGGCCAGAAGCCAGACTAGGCAGAAAAGTCTGTGAGATTCTTCTTTACAATTAACTACCAAAAAGCCAAAGTAGAGCTGAGACTCAACAGTAGAATATCAACCTTGAGCACAAACGTTCAACTCTGAATGGAGAATGAATAAGGTGGCCAGTGCAGATGAGAAAGAGCAGGATTTCTGTGTGCAAAGATCTGGTCAACAGCATTGTGGCAAAGCACACAAAACCAGCACCAGGCTGACAAGAGAGGGCAGGGAAGGCAGGAGAGTTTTGATTAACTCTTTTTTTTGCCAGTCCTGGGGCTTGGACTCGGCCAGTGGGTGCTGATCCTGAGCTTCTTTGTGCTTAAGGCTAGTGCTCTATCACTTGAGTCACAGCACTGTGTCTGGCTTTTTCTGAGTAGTTTATTGGCCATAAGAGTCTCATGGATGTTCCTCCCCAGGCTGGCTTCAAACAGAGATCCATCCTCAAATCTCAGTCTCCTGAGTAGCTAACATTACAGACGGGAGAGTTTGATTAACTTTTGTGTGTCATCCCCAGGAATGTGGACTTGAGACAAGGTAACCCAAGCCTTCAATGTTTGGTTACAGGAGTTATGATCCAAGCTGTGATGTCAGAAAAAAAACAGCCCATCACTGCTACACCTGGAGATAGTCTAGGTTACACTGCTCTAACAGCGTAGCCAGAGGATGCTTGCATAAGAAACCCAGGTGAACTGTGGGGACTCACCTGTGGCTTTCATTCACATTAACTATCCATGAGAATCATTACAGCCAGTGTGACCAACTTACAGCTTTTGCTTTTCTCTTAGTTACACTGATCGTGCTGTTTTCCTAAATAAATAAATACATAAATAAATAAATATCCAACAAGTTGACAAATGAGGCAGGTTCTTTTGCAAATTTGCTCTTCTCTTCTCTAGAAACTTCTTCCTCTATCTAAACCTTTGGGTGAACCTGGATGCTTGATGACTCCTGACTGTAATCCTAGCTACTCAGGAGGCTGAGATCTGAAGATCTCTGTTCAAAGTCAGCCTGGGATTCCTCAGCACCACACAAACAGAAGAAGCCAGAAGTGGCCTTGTGGCTCAAGTGGTTGAACGCTAGCCTTGAGCTGAAGAACTGAGGGACAGCATCCAGGCCCAGAGTTCAGACCCATGACTGACAAAAAAAAAAGACAAAGCGCAAGAGAGAGAAAAAGTCTTACAAAAAGAAATGAGCCAGTTATAAGGAAACTTAAAAATCTTACCTCGAGAACCTCAATATCTGAATTGACGAACGAGATATTGTAAGGGTTGGGAAGAGGAAAACCTTGCTGTAGTCTTGCTAAAATATAGAAAAAGGTGTAAGAAAATTAGGCAGGTACACAAATATTTAGAGACTCTTTAGAAAGAAAAACATCTTTTCAGTCATTTATCTTTTTATTCCTCTTGGTTCTATTTGCATTCTCTAACATGAAAATGTCAGAGAATTTTTTCTAGACGTTATTAATTCGTCTGCATTTAGTAAAAGAGTATTTGCAATTATATGCATTTGGATACCGGAAAACTCCTGTCCATTTTGCTAACATTTTGGTGTCTGTTCTGGAGAATATGTGTGTGCTGGTACTGGGGCTTGAGCTCAGGCTTGCTTGACTTTTTCCACTCAGGGCTGATGCTCTATTTGAGCCATGCCTCCAATCCTGGCCTTTTTGCTGGTGAAGTGGAAATAAGAGTATCTCAGACTTGACTGCTCCAGCTGGCAATCTTCATATCTAAACCTCCTGAGTAGAGAGGATTATAGGTGTGAGCCACCAGCTCCTAGCCTATGTAACTTTGTGTAGATTTCATCTGGGTAATTTTAAAGTTGTGAGAACGGAACTAAATGAATTTGTGTTGTCTGTTTTGGATACCTGATGTTAAAAACCTAAAGATTTTGTTAAAAATTGATACTAATATGCTCTCTTCAGGAATCTGATTACATTACTTATTTTATACATAAACTAAAGCATGAAATAATAATTTTTAAAAAGTGAAAAAAAATAAAACAAAGTCAGCCTGGGCAGACAAAGCTGACAGACTGGTCTAGAGCTGGGGGTGGTAAGTCACTAGGGTCAGTGGCCGAGCTGGAAAAGCAGAACATCAAGAGGGCATGTGTGGAGTGTGGTAGAGAAGAGGATATCAGGGAAGAAGCAGTTAAGGGATGGGTACTGGAGCAAGGAGTCCAGATTCTCTGTGGTCCAGGCAGTCTTTCTTCAAATCCCTCACCATGGTGATGCACCCATTAGCAGTCTTGGGTGACTGCATGTTTGTCTGGTGTTTCAGCCCAGTCATTTTAACTCCCAGGGCTTGGGGCTGCCTGCACGACCTCCTGGAGCCTGGTACAGGGCCTGAAACACATGGTTGCCAGCTGATGCTTTGCCAAATAGGGCTGAATGGAGACAAACCCTGAACCAAAAGTTTTGGGAAGGGCTCCATGCACGCGCTGAGTGTCCAGAGGACGCGTGGTACTGGACCTGCGTGTGGAAGGGGCCCAAGTATAGGTTCGGGTCACCTCCCCACCACTTTGGTAGAGAGAGCAGGCAGGTGTCACAGGGCAGAGGGCACTGACTGAACTCAGTTCTAAACATGAGAGTACACTCACCCAACATCTGGGGTCTTTGATAGGAAGAAACCTTGGGTCCGTGGAACAGTGCACACGGGATCACAGCGTGGGCCGCATTCCATGGCTGAGGACGCTAAGATCCCGGGGTCAAAGCAGGTCTTGGGGTCCTCAGGCTCCAGCCAAGGCGAGTGCAGAGCCCCGAACCCCGGGGTGGGGGGGCTGTGCATCGGCAGGGCTCCAGCACTAGAAGCAAAGCAGGAGGAGCTCGAATCTCTGGACCGAAGGTCGCCCAGCAGACTTGAGGCCAGGATCAGATCCTGGGGCGCGCTCGAACCGCGCCAAAATGCACCGGGCGCACTAGCGCTCAGCGTGCACCAGTCAGCGCCCAACAACCCAACTCTGGCACTTTCTCACAGCTCCTCCCGGTAGGGGAGCCGGGGAGGAGCGGGATGCACCATTGCGGCTCAGGAGGGGGGAGACCTAACGTCGGATGTCAGGGTCGCCCCCGGGTAGACTGAAACCCTTGAGGAGAAGATGGGAGGTCGACGTCTACAGGTGTGTGCCAGAAAGTCTGTAAGAGGGTGTTGCGGGCCTGGTGGCTCCACGGTGCCCGACATCGGTGTTGGCGAAGGAGACCCCCCCCACGGCGGTGACTTAGTGGTAGCGTCCGGCTCCCTGGCTGGCGAACGGGCGGAAGTGCTGCGGAGTTGGAGCGGGGCCGGGCCGCGGCCGCTTGTGCTCGCCGAGCTGCTGCCGCCGGCGCCGCCGGGCGGACGCGCGGACGGGCGCGGAGCCTGGAGCGGACGGCGCGGTGGGGCCGGCGGGGCGCGGCGGCGGGGCTGACTGTCCCCGATGAGGCGTAAGGAGAAGCGGCTTCTGCAGGCGGTGGCTCTGGTACTGGCGGCCCTGGTCTTCCTGCCCAACGTGGGGCTGTGGGCTCTGTACCGCGAGCGGCAGCCGGACGGCGTCCCGGGGAGGTCGGGAGCGGCGGCGGTCCCCGCGGTGGGACAGGTGAGTGCCTTGGGGGTGGTGGGGCTAGCGATGCTCCCACCCACCTTCCCCCCTTCTCTGGTTTTACTTCAGACCTTGGGCTCTTTCTCTCTCCATCTCCTCCTCCTCCTGTCGGTGTCCTCAGAGGCAGCCCCTGAAGAGTCTGTCCTTCTTTCCATCCCTCCCCCCCCCCTCCCCCTCCCCAACACGTCAACCCTCCCCCCCTCCCTCCCCCCCCCCCCCCCCCCCCGCCATGGGGTAAATTGAGGCTCGGAGGACAGGGATTTGTCTACTCGGCAGAGTCAGAATTAGAACCCAGGACCCTTAGTGCCCATTATGGGACTCTTATTTCTATTTTCCATACTTTACAGTTTGTCCGCCTGTCCGTTGCCCTCTTCTGTCGTCTCCTCTGGTCCAGCGTTCTCTTTCTGGGTAGTACCCTCTTTGCACATGCCGGCTTCCCCAGGGTGTGATGCTTTCTGTAGGACCGGTTCCCCCATCACTTCTGCTCCCCTCCCTCACCCCCACCTGCTGATCCTGCTGTATTTACTCAGGTCAGTCCCTTTCACGTTTTGCCATTTGCCCAGGGACCCCTGGAACTCCCTGCCCCTTTTCCCTATTCTTTCGCTGTCCTATTTCTTTCTGTCTCAGGTCCTGTGAATTCCTTGGGGAGTGAGTGCAAAGATCCTCTTGGAGCTTCCGGTCCCTTGGATGAGGTGAAAGGTGAATTTCTGGTTCTTGAGGAACTTGCCACCTTTGACCCTCCAGGAGTATAGAGGTGGCCAGGTGGAGGGATCCCCCAAAATGTCCCAGAGCACTGTCCCCTAAGGACAGAATGCCACATACCTCCCTTCTCTACTTTTTTCTGATAGGACGTGGTACTTCTTGCAGCCCAAACTGTGACAATAATTGTTTTTGCCTCTTTGAAACTCACTCATGTCTCACGTATGTGTACATGCATATGGAATAAATGACTACTTTTCTTCATGTGCATGCTCAGATCGTGGCTCTTGAACTCAGGCCCTGGGTGCTGTCCTTTAGTTGTTTTTCACTTATGGCTGGCACTCTACCACCTAATCCACAGCTCCACTTCTGGCTTTTTGGTGGTTCATTAAAGATAAGAGTCTTACAGACTTTCCTGGGTGGGCTGGCTTAAAACCAGGATTCTTAGATCTCAGCCTCCTGAGTAGCTAGGATTACAGGTGTGAGTTACCAGCTCCTGGCTTGGATTAACGTTTTCCTGCTCAATCACATCACTCTACCTCTCTCATCTCCTGGCAAATCTATGCATGCTTGAATTGCTTTGTATACTGGGACATTTCAGATTTGCTTAGGGGATTTTTGTGGTCCATGGGAAGTGGGTAATGTTCATATCAGGGTCAGAATTGACTGTTGGCTGCCCTCAAGGGAAGAAGCTGACTTTTTGAGGTTGATGGGTTTTCCTTTCTCCTCAGTGTCAGGCTGCTGCCTGGCCATTCTGGTATCTTGAGCACAGACAGTTCTTTGCCACAGGGCAGATCAATTGGAGCTTAGCAATTACTCTAGTTAATTGTTGCAAACCAACCAGAGGAGTCGGCTTGTTCTTTATGGTACATCTTAACTGTTCAGAAACTGAGGAAAGTCAGCAAGGTCTTTTCCTAAACCCTGAGTTCAAACCCTGATAACCAGCCTAGCCTTTTCCCCCTTAAATTCTGTGTCTTGTATGTTTTTCTTTCTTGAAATCTCCTTCAATTCCTATCCTGTACCAGTATCAAGGTGAAGAGGCCAGGGCTGTGTTTGGCTTTGTCATTAACTTGCTGTATGTGCTTATCATCCACCAACTCCATCTCTTGGTTCGGTTGCCAGCATTCTGTGATGTGATCAGTGAGTGGACACAGGGCTACTGCTTTTTCCTGGGGTATTGTCCCTGACAGCCTCCCTAGGTTCAGGGGTTCTATATTGGCAAAGCCCCAGGCAAAGGGGGTGTGTCCTGCCCAAGTGCAGATCCTGTGGAATAGCTGTGACCAGGTCTAAAAGAGCTCTTGACAGGCTGCCTTTGCCTAAAGAAAGCTGTCATATTTCAGTTGAGGCAGGTGCCAAAGAAGTTCTGATTTTCATTTCCTATAGACCTACATGTGTAGAAAGAAGGTCAAGGTTAACTGCCAGTTTGGCCTGAGCTTTCAAAGAAAATTACTCACATGTACAAGAAGGTATTGATTGAATAAAGCAGCCTTTGGGGCAGAAAGAGTGGAGAGCAACAGCTGGATGGATGCTCCTTGGAACTCTGACCTGCAGTGTGTGGATAGCTCATGGGGCAGTTTTAATTCTTGTTTAATTTCTTTTTCTCTGGAATAGCAGAAAGAGGAGGGGAAGTGGTGAATGGGATTGGTGTTTCAAGGCTTATCAACTGGCTGTTCTTCCTTTACAGAAAAGTTCTCCTTCCTGGGTGCAGCAGAAGAGCTCTTTTGCAATGATAGGCTTTTCTAGGTGCTATAGGATGCTGCATTCAGCTGCTGCCTTTCAGGAAGATCCTGCCAAATTTCCACACAGCCCTTTTGTGTTCTACTCTCTTTGCAGAGGCAGAGCCCTGGGCTTGGCCTTCCCAGTTACTTCCTTGTTTGAATGGCAGCTGGGCTTGAAGGAAGAGGCTGACTTTCTTCCAGTCCTCATTCCACACTATCCCTGAGCATGCATGTAACACATCAGGCTGCTGTCTGGGAAATCTGCTATCTGGAGCGCACTGAGCTGTTATGAAGGGTTGACCAGTTGGTTCTAAGCTCAGTCTGTCACTCTGGCAATTGTTGAGAACCTTCCCACAATACCTCTTCATTGATCTTCCTGGCAGAAGTAACCACAGAGGCTCTGGAGGGAAGTCTTGACAGGACTTTTGTCCTAAAGAAAATTAGGTTCCTTGTGAATTTGAGAGAAGTTTATCTGAGGGCAATATAACCACTATTTGAACAGTCCTGTTTAACTCTTTGATTCTTTCACTGAAGATTAGAAAGAGCACTTAGCTGTCATCTGCTAGAATGTAAGTCATAGAACTGCCACCCAGTTCATCCTGAGTGTGTCTGTGGAGCTGGGCAGGACATCTGATTTATAAAGAACACATAATGCTTCTAGGGTTTCTGAATTCATCTGGTCAGACAGCTGGCTTTACAGAAAGCTGCAAACCAAGCAGGAAAGCCAGCCACGATGCCATCTTTCTTTTAATTTGGGGCTTGCTCTCGTTACTAACCCTCCCTCCCCATCTGCCTAACATCTTAGCTTAATTCTAGAATGTTTCATATTTCAGGCTTGGGAACTGGTTATTAAAAGCCCACATTAGGAAACTTGATGCGGTCCCGCCCCACTTCTGAACCATAATCTCTGGTGAGAAATGACTTCATTGGATAATAGCATCTGTGGAATGGAAATTGGTGGGATAATGGAATACCAATGACTTTAATTTTCAAGTTTCAGGAGTTTTTCTCCTGTCAGAGCTGAACTTTATTCTTAGCACATGCAAAAATTAATACTTTCCTCCCCGTTTTCTCCCCCCCTTCCTTTCAGTCTTCTCATAGCAGAATTGCGCCCATCAGAAAGTTAAATGCTTGGAAATGTAGCCTGGGATGATTTCTATAATTTTCTTCATAGGGGCTGGTAGCCTTTAGATTGCTAATCATTGCCAGCTTACTGTAGTGAAATCTGATGTCACTTGGGAAGGGCTGTTGATTTAGCCAAGTAAATCTCCCTGTGTTGTTGTTTTTCTGGAGTCCCACTGATGATGATCTGTAGAGAGAGGCCTGGCTTCTTGTCTTCTTTCCTGCCCTAAACTCACTCAGTGACCTTAGGAAAGTGGTTTAACTACTCTGGGCTTGGATTACTCCTTTGTGAAGTTAGTTTAGATTCCAAAGGAGGAGAGGCAAATATGTATTAGAATGGTGCTTCCTCTCCTGTGGTCAAGACAGACATTACTAATCAATATCTCCCCTCCCGTGGCTACAGCAGACTTTACTAATTAAGTCTACTAAGCCTAGAATCAGCTGGTCTCAGACTAGTTCTCAATACTGCTGCTCAAGTGAAGTTAATGATATAGTAATTCTGGTGATGTAAGAAATAGGTATTTTTGACAAAGGGTAAACAAATGCAGTGGTGGCTAGTGAATTGTACAATTTGTGGATGGGAATGAGAAAGAAAAACAGGGAGAAGATGAGGGACAGAGGGTGACATTGTCTGAAAAGAAACGTAATCTTTACCCATCTGCATACACCTCTATACTAACAACAAATTTAAAAAAAAAAAAAAACATAGGTACTTTGCTAGGCTTTTCCATTTCTAAGGTCCTGTGGTTCTGAGTTCAGAAGCACATATTGGAAAGATCTGGACTATAGGCCTTCAAATGTACCCTCTCAGGAGGCTCTAACCTCAGAGCTTTTTCATTTTGTGCTGGCATCTCTCAGACTGTGGTCTAAAGATGTTCAGCCTTTAATCTGTTGGCTGTTGACAGATAACAGATAAGGGAATCAATAATGGAAAAGCAAAGGCCTATTGAAAAGATAACCATCTAGCAGCAATTAGGTAACCATTTAATTATTCCTTGTCCACCGTCAGCTGTTATATTGAGATGGCATCCAGAATGTCATCATTGTGTAAAGAAATACCTTGAGGTGAACTTGGCAGCTGGAAGTGTGTCCTGTAGCAGCTAATTGCCCCTGACGATGTTTGGGTTGTGTGTGTGTCTTCTGTATTTTGCGTATATCTAACCCTCTGCATCTTATACTGGATCAGAGTCAGAAAGGGAAAGACTTGAATGAGACTATTGCTTCTCCAACAGCCACAATGGCATGGGGAATTGGATGTAGCCTGTGTAGCATGTACAATGGAATGGAGAAAGGATGTAGCCTGTTGGAGTTCCTGTGGCCAAGAAGTGCATCATGACCTCAGTAGGTGGAGATGTCTTGACACAGTGTGTTCTTTAAGTACATAGCACATGGTGTGGCACTTGGAAAACTGGATTTTTGCTGAGTGAGTGTTAAAGTGGGAGGGAGGCGCTTGAGAAG